ATTGTCCATGCAGCCAGCGTTTATGGATCTTCAGAGGTTTCTCTCTGAGATCACTCCTCATCAAATTACTACAGCCTCTGCAAGGATGCCTCGCAACCTTTGGCGCTCAGATTTACAGTCAGCTGAAGCAATACAGTCCCCCTCCCTCCTGAGGATGGCCCCTCCCCGCCAGCCAGACCTCCCGTAGCCAGCACTGGGCTTTCCAAAGAGACAGTGCTGCTCCAGAGTTCTCACAAAGAAATTGGCCTTCCTTTGCAATTCCACCAGCTTAATTTGTTCAATCATCATCACTTGCCACTTCAGATCGCTCATTATGTGAATTCGCTATTGTCTGAGAAGCCCCAGGTGCTGCAGGGCAATGGGGAACAGTGATAATGTCCTTTTTGTGTCAGTGAAATAGCCTGTAAATGCCTAACTCATTAAAACCATCTGATGTTCACATTTCCTCATTCAAGCAAACTAGAAGGCTATTTGTGCCAGGTTTCTTTCCAATCTGGGATACAATGAACAGTGGGCACAGGTCAGTTCCTGACCCCTGCGTTCTCAAAAGCTCAACAACAACAAAAGTTATATATCTGGGGGGTCTGGGGAGATATCAGCCGACCTGTTACTTCCTAATTCTTGATCTGGATCTGGTTTATCCTTACGTATGTCATCACCTTGGCCCCAAAGAAAGCCCCTTTATACCAATAGGCATGTCTCAATCTGCTGAGGTCATCTAAGGTCTGTTACAGCCAGCTTTTGAAAAAAGAATGCATACTATTTATTTGACCTATTTTTCGGGCATTTAGACTTTAGTAAAAGATAGTTATGCCTCCTTTGCATGAATGCTTTCTGCTCTCCCTTTTTGACTACTTTAAACTGATTTTAACTTCTTAAGCTGTCAGTAATTGCCCCCACATTTCCAGTTTGTGTATACTGTTCTTTCTCGTCCTAGCAATGCTACAGACATTGAGGATTTAGTCTTCTTGTACTACCTATACCTCCCCATTCTCCCATCCTCCTAATAGTTTATAGTTACATTCCCATTCTTAATTAAATCAATAATCAGAGCTTCTGTTGATGACTATGCCAGGGGTCCTCAAACTTTTTAAACAGGGGGCCAGTTCACTGTCCCTCAGACAGTCGGAGGGCCGTTGGAGAGTGCGGCGCACATTCCACACATGCGCACTGTGGGCCTGGCTGCTAAGCAGGACAGGCAGCGGCGGCAAAAACACCTGGCGGGCCGCCTGTGGCCGGCATAGTTTGAGGAAGTAATATATTATGATTACATTTTCTCTCTTCCAAAGCTTTTCTTTTCCCTGGAGTCTCTTACTGCCTATCTTTTTTTCCCTTACCCTACCAGGTGTCTACGTTTCATTAATCCTTTCCAAATGTTATATCATAGCAATTTTTCTGCCAAGTCCTTCGCCAACCTGTCCCCGCTCCCTTTTTTTCTTGCTGGCAGAGTCTCCTATTCACATGTTCTAATCTGCACTGGTTGCTCTCTAGGCCTCCTATACAGCTATTGTGTTGCCTTTTGTTGCTCTTGGAAGGAGAAAGGGGGGCAGGGGGAGCCACTGTTTCCCGGCTCCTATGTCTTCTACTTTTCTTGTTTTACTTTTTTAGTTTTGCTGGAGTATATCCTCAAGTAGTTTTGAACCTAAATAAAATGCATGAGAAGTGAATTTTCTGAATAGAGCATGTCTAAAAACTCTACCTTGGCTTTCCCATCTTGCAAGATGGCGGGTGATAAAGTTAAGAAGGAGATGCTAAGGAGAGAAACCTGAAGCCAAGAAGGCTGATGCTAGTGGGAAGGTGAAAAAGGGTAACTTCAAGGCTAAAACGCCCAAGAAGGGGAAGCTCTGCTGCAGCCGAAATCCTGTCCTCACCAGAGGAATTGGCAGATGTTCCCGATCCACCATGATCGACCACGTATTCCAGACAGGCCATGTACCAAAGGTCGTACTCTGCCGCTAAATCCAGGATTGAAAAGGAGACTGCCTTGCCACTGTTACAAAACCGGTTGGTGGTGACAAGAATAGTGCTACTTGGGTGATTAAATTTCACAACATGCCTAGATGTTATCCTACTGAAGATGTGCCTCGAAAGCTGCTGAGCCAGGGCAAAAAGCCCTCCAGTCAGCATGTGGGAGAACTGTGCGCCGGCATCCCTCCTGCACCATCCTGACCATCCTCACTGGCGCCACAAAGGCAAGAGGGTGGTTTTCCTGAAGCAGCTGAGCAATGGCTTGTTACTTGTGACCGGACCTCTTGTTCCCAATCGAGTTCCTCCCTCTGCGAACACACCAGAAATTTCTCATCGCCACCTCCACAAAAATTGCTATCACTAATATGCAAAGCCTAAAACATCTTACCAATGCTTACTTCGAGCAGCAGCTGTAGAAGCCCTGACACCAGAAAGTCGAGATCTTCGACACAGAAAAGGAGAAATATGAGATTACAGAGCAGCGAAGGTTGATCAGAAAGATATGGACTTGCAAATCTTATGAAAATCAAAGCTATTCCTCAGTTCCAGGGCTACCAGAAATCTGTGTTTGCCCTGATGGAGTTTATCTTCACAAATTGGTGTCCTAAGTTTCTTACAAAGAATCTAAGTTTCTTACAAAGAATCTAATTAAATAACTGATATATTTTAAAAAACCCAACTCTACTATCACAATTGATTAGAATTCTAGGTTGAAAATCACTTTTTCTTAAATTTTTAAAGGCATTGTTCCATTGTCTTTACCCAGTGTTACTTTTAAGGAAATCAATGTCATTCTGATTCTTAATTCTCTAAATATGCCCCCATCCCCAACTGGAAGCTCTTAGCATCTGTCTACTTTTCATTCTTTATGTGAAAATTTCACAAGTATGTACCTTGATGAGAGTCTTTTTCATTCATTTTGATGGGCACCCAGTGAGCCCTATAAATCTGGATCAGGGTAAATCCTGGGTATATAAAAGAAATAAAAATTTATCACACAAAGGCCTGTACACAAATATTTGCAGTATTTATTGATAATTATAAAAATTGGGAACAACCCTGATGTCCTTTAACTGGCAAGCAGACAAAGAGACAATGGAATACTATTCAGCAATAAAGGAATGAATTATTGATTCACACAACAACATGGATGGATCTTAAAGGCATTTTGCTGAGTGTAATAAGCTGGATCCATTTGTATGGCTATATATTGAATGATTCCATTTTTATGACATTCTGGAAAGGCAAACCTATAGAAAGGAAAACAGATTAGTGGTTCCCATGGCTTGGGTTGGCAAGAGTTGTCTATGAAGGAGGATCATGAGGAAGTTTTGGGAAGAAGTGGAACTCCTCTACATGGAACTGTGGTGGTAGACACCAGATTCTATATATTTGTCCAAACCATAGGCTTGTGTAAGACAAATGAATTGTACTGTATGTCAATTTTTTAAAAATGCAGGAGAGTACCTAGCACAGATGCTCAAGAATGTTGTTGCATGAATAAAGGAGAAAGAGCAAAGGATATCAGAGGCTTCTTTAATAAAATAAAGGTAACCATGCCCAAGTCAAAAATCAAAAAAATCAACCAGGATGTGGAGAGAAAGCAGACTACAACAAATACCTAACTATATTACAAATGAAATATATAACCTGAGAGGATGGGGAAGAAAGGAGTTGACCTAAATTGCAGTGGAAAACAGTGCTTTAAGTGAATGCTGTGAAGCTAAATACAAATTAGAACTATACAAAAACATTGTACTGTAGTTGGTAAATTTGTTTCTTATATAGGTATTGGTTAAGATCTCTGAAACTACTTCATTTGTATATTAAAGTAATATAAATAATTATAGATATTAATACTATTAATAGTTTTTCACTCTTGGAGAAATGAGTTACAGATAAGGAAAAGCAGCAGCTAGAAGGAACTCTGTGGTGCTGGATTAGAGTTGGAGGTGTCAATAATGTATTCATGTTTTTAAAAACATGTATGTAGGTAAATATAGCAATATAGATGTGTGTATGTATTAGTTTCTTCCAATCTGTGACAGCGCCTCAATCTTTCCTTATTTCCTACTTTAATAATTAAATATAATGTAGGGTCTAGATTTGATCCTGAAAGAGAATAAGGACATTAAATGGGAGGACTGGTAAAATAGGAATAAGTTCTGTATTTTAGTTAATTGTACTGTATAGTACTGTATCTAAGATAACTGCACCAAGGATAAATGTTCTATGGTTATAGAATACGTTAACATAAAGGCAAACTGAGTTTAGGGTACCCAGGAAATCCTGGTGCTATTTTTCCAACTCTTTAGTAAGTCTAAAATTAACTCAAAATAAAGGTTAGAAAAGAAATAAATTTGAATAAAATTAGTCATTTAAAAAATAAGCCAAATTACAAGTGTAACACAATACAGTTCATCCTTGAACAACAGGGCTTTAAATTGCACCGGTCCACTTATACGCAGATTTTCTTCTGCCTCTGCCACTCCTGAGATAGCAAGACCAATTCCTCCTTTTCCTCCTCCTTAGCCTATTCAACATAAAGATGATGAAGATGAAGACCTTTATGATGACCCACTTCTGCTTAGTGAATAGTAAATATATTTTCCTTATGCTTTTATTAATAATATTTTCTCTAGCTTACTTTATAAGAATACAGTATATATAATACATATAACATACAAAACATGTGTTAACCAACTTTGTTATTGGTAAGACTTCTGGTCAACAATAGGCTATTAGTAGTTTAAGTTTTGGGGGAGACAAAGGTTTTACACAGATTTTTCAACTGTGAGGGCAGTTGGCACCCCTAACTCGTTTTGTTCAAGGGTCAACTAACTATATGGCAAAATTCATGACAGTGATATGTAAATGACTGATGTGTGGGAAACATTAATCTTGACTTAGTACAATGCCTGACATGAGGAATAGATATATGTTGGGGAAAAAAGCATAGGTCTTCACAAATAACCTTTAAAGTAAAATCTGTCTTCAGAATATCTGATTAAAATCCTACTAACTTCTTACAGATAAAAATGATAAGATACAGCAAAATACACAGGGATGGAAGAACGGAAGGAGGGAGACAGGCAAGCAGCAGACAACTGGAAAGCACTGAAAGGCATATTCTGGAGGAAAGTCAACTCTTGGGGAATAAAAAAGATGATACTGGGTACGTTTTCCATTTTTATGAGTTTTAGTCTGAGAGTCAACAGTATGTGAAGCAGAATGCCAATAGAAAAACTGTCTTTCTGGCCTGAAGAACCAGAGGACAGAGTTTCAGGGCAACACAGCCACTAGAAAGCGAGGTAGTACTCCAGAAACAAGTGAGCCAGAAAGAAATCCAAATCCTGTATATAACTCAGCCCAAATCTATGGCTAACCCCTGGCCCTTGCATGCATGGAACAAACTCTAGGGAAGGATAGAAGGATTGAACTGAGATTTGAGCTGCTGGCCCAGAGTCTTTCCAAGTTAATTGTTTGCTAAAACAAAATAACCAATACTCTTCAGAGGAATGTAAAAGAATCTAGAGTTCCCATACCATTTTATTCAAAATAGCCAGGACAAAATCCAAGATTACTCGACATATGGAAAAGCAGGAAAATGTGACAAATTCTCAAGAAAAAGACTATTAAAATAGATCCTGATATGACCCGGATGTTGGAATTTGCAAACAAGAATTTTATGACAGCTATTATAATTTATGCTCAGTGATGTTAAGAAATACAGTTAAGAGATATGTAATCTTAGAGAAACTATTAAAATAAAAATGAAGCAACCAGAAATTCTAAGATTAAAAAAAATACAGTATCTAAAACAAAAAATTACCAAATGGGCTTAACAATGACTTAACAATGGGCTTAACCCAGTCCAGTCTAGGTTAGGGTTAGGGTTAGGGTCTACACTCATTCATGATTAAAAACTCTCACTCAGCAAACTAGAAATAAAAGGGAACTTCCTCAATCTGATAAAGGGCACCCACAAAAAGCCTACAGCTAACATCATATCTGATGGTTAAATATTGAAAACTTCTCCTTTAAGGTTAATCCTTATTAGGCAAAGATGCCCACTTTCCCCCCTTCTATTCAATATTACACTAGAATTCTTAACCATCATAATAAGAACAGAAAAAAAGAAATAAAAGTAATCGAAATTGAGAGATCAGAAATAAAGAAGCAAAACTGTTTCTATTTACAGCTAAAATGATTATTTACATAGAAAATTCTAAGGAATCTATAAAATAACTAATTGAATAAGTAAATTTAGCAAGATTTAAGGATGCCAGTTAATGTACAAAAACCAATTGTATTTTTATAATACAGCAAAAAATTGAAAAAGTAAAAAATAATTCCATTTATAACACTTTCAAAAACCATAAAATATTTAGTAATACATAATAAAGGTGTACAAGACCTCTACACTGAAAACTACAAAATATTGCTGAGAAATTAGATTAAATAAATGAAGGGCTGCACGCTATAGTATATCATGTTCATGGATTATGTCTTAGTTCATTTTGTCCTGTTAACAGAATACAAGAGACTGGATAACTCATAAAGAAATTTATTTCTCACAGTTCTGGAAGCTGGGAAGTCCAAAATCAAGGGGCTGGCATCTGGTAGGGGCCTTCCTGCTGCATCATCCCATGGTGGAAGGTAAGAGGGCAAGGGGGCGGTGGAAACAAACTCATCCTTTTATAAGAACCCACTCCTGCAGTAACAAGCCCACTCCCACAGTAATGACACTAACCTATTCATGATGGCAGAGCCCTCATGGTCTAATCATCTCTCAGTAGGCTGCACCTCCTAATATTGTTGCACTGTTGTGGATTACATTTCCAACACATGCTTTCTGGGGGAAGACATTCAAACCATAGCAGATTATAAGACTCAGTATTACTAAGATGTCAAATCTTTCCAAAATTGTACTTTCAATGTAACCCCAATCATAATCTTACCAGGGTTTTGGGTTTTGTTGTTGTTGTTGTTGTTGTTGACACACTGCTTCTAGATTTTATGTAGAAATGCAAAGGATCTAGAATACCAAATGCAATCTTGAAAAAGAATTACAAAATTGAAAGAGAGATAACTTGACTCAAGATCATTATAAAGCTATAGCATAAAGTGTGATTATAGCATAAAAAATCATATAGTGTGATTATAGCATAAAAATCAACAAATCAACCATTGGAGCAAAACAGAGAACCTAGTCTTAGATACACACTTTCTTGGTAGCTTTTTGACAAGGGCACCAAAGCAAATTCTTGGGGAGACTTTCAACAATTGGTGCTGCAATAACTAATATCCATATGGAAAAAATGGATCTAGAATCCTATTTTACAGCCTACACACAAGAAAATAATCCAAGATGATTCACGGACCTAAACATAAAAGCTAAAATTATAAAGCTCTTAGAGGAAAACATAACAATAATGATTTTCTGGCCTGGGATGGGGAGGTGGGAAAGAAGAGAAAGGTTTCTTAGGTAACCTACACAAAAAGAAAACAATTCTGCCTTTCCAAGAATGTGTAGTATATAATGAACATGTATTATAATAAAAAGTTAAATTTAATACCCCTTAGCTATCCCATACTTTAGTCTCAGTTAAAAAAAAAAAAAAAAAAAAAAGCTAATGTAAACTTAATCTAATAGAAACTTCCAGGACCCATTACTTACTGGGAAATATGAATTGGACCATACACAAACTTTGCCTCCATTTTGTAAATATTTATTTACAGGCAGGAAGCAACATTATGCGAAGAATTAGATATTCCATTGAAATGGTCTCTTAAGTCTCTTCCACCCTAAAGCTTTTTGTTACCAGTTTCTTCTCCTGTAACTTACCAAGAGGTTGTTCTTCAGATTCTGCAAATGGTTACACTGTGAAATAAAAAATTTGCTGAATTTAAAACGATTTTCCCTCCCAAACCCAGATTAACTAAGTATGAAACATTAACTGGTTAATTCCACATGGTTCCAAATTTGATGTGATTGAATTAGCTAAGAAAGATCACACCTAAATCAAATGATTTACACAGAAACTAACCTGAGGTACTTTAAAGATGACTTCAGATTACTTGACATTCTTCTTATCAATTCACAGTGAGCTCTGCGTCCTCTCCACTTGAATCTGAGCAGGCTCTGTGATTGCTTGATCAAAAGAGTATGACGAAAGTGATGTTGTGACAGTTTCTGGGCCCAGGCCTCAAAGAACTGGCAGTTTCCACTTCCTGTCTGACAGAACCCAGCTGCCATACTATGAGGAAGCCCAGGAAGAAAGTCCTATGTGGAAGAACTGAGACCCATGGCTGAATTTGAAGCCAACAGCCAGCCACTACTTTAGCAGCCACGAGTGAGCCATGTTGGAAATGAATCCTCCTGCCCCTCTTGAGACACCCCACTTGACACCTGAGATCAGGGACAAGATGTTTTGGCCAAGTCCTTCCCAAACTACAGATTTGTGATCAGAATAAATAACTCTTATAAGCCACTAGCTTTTGGAGTGGTTTGTTACACAATAATAGAGAATTGTACCATTCCCAAATACTACATATCCTTAATCATAAACTGATTTCTCAAAAGGAAAGCCTGAACCATACCAACCCCACCACCTCAAAGCTAAGTCAATCAAATCTAATATTTGTATGATTCAAAAGGTCACGGAGGTCAGAACAAACAAAAACAGCCAGGCGCTGAAAACTCTTCACTGCTTCTTTATTGTGATGCACCCACAGTACAGAACCTCTCACACATCTGTGAAAGGGGAAGGTTACATTTCTTTTTTGGGAGCACCTTCATTTTTGTTTCTGTTACCACTCTGAAGAAAGTAAATCATTTCCAAAGAAAAACATTTTAAATTCCAAGTGTTTAAGACTCAGCTTGAATTTTGTTGTGTTTAAAAAGGAAGTAGCATGTTTTAGCCAGAGCTGGAAGATTGTTTTGTGGCATTTTAAGTTTGATGTGGATCAGAAGTCTCTTCACTGTCTGGTTGAACCAGTCTATAATTTTCATATGCAACTTTTCATATCAAAAATGTTTCATTTTTACCTCTAGTCACAAACAGATACTGTTTAAAAAAACACACACGCACAGCTAGATTTAAAACCAATCGTGAACCACAGCATTACTAACAGGAAAAATGAACTTTTGCTGCCCTCTCCTGCTAAAACAATGAAATACTAAAATACCAAAGGATTTATGAAGCTAAAGCGAAATCCTCAAACCAAAAGCAATGGACATGTCATTCTCATTATACTTCAGTCAAAAATCAGACAACAACCAGAAAATGTATTGGTAATATTTATATTTGAAAGTTCCCCATTGATACATGAGGTTTGGATTACAACTTATTTACAATAAGTGATTTCAAAAAAAGTAAAGAAAGAGGGAGGGAGAAGGAGAGAGGGAGGGGCTGAGAGAGAAGAGACAAAGAAGAAAAAGAAAGAGAGCAGAAAAGGAGGAAGGGAGAAAGAGAAGAGAGAAAAGGGAGACAGTAAAGGAGAGAGGGAAGGAGGGAGGACAGGGAAAAAGGGAGGGAGGGAAGAAAAGGAAACCTATATTCATAGACATCATAATATGGGATGTTTATTTCCAAGAGATACTACTGCTGCTATCGTGCACAAGAAGCAGCACAAATTAACATTCCACTAGATCAAAATTTGCTCAACTTTCTCTCAAGATGCACAATCCTTCTTTTAGATTTTCAAAATTAAATATAGAGGAATATAAAATGCATTGCCAATATACCTACTACAAAAATCCTTTGTGGCTCATTCCTTAACTCCACTCAGAGAAGCAGCTGAGCCAGAATACAAAAATAAAAATATTGATGTGCAAATAAAACATCAGTGATCGTGTCTGGTGCCACCTCTTTGCTAGTGACTGTCACTTTCTGATAACATTGGTAATAGCATCAAAAGAGAGAATTTCTTCATTTTCTGGGCCAGGTCAGTGCATCCAATTAAAGGGAAAAAACAAAACAGAAAAAAACAAAAACAAAAAAAACCCAAAAAACTCAGCACTTACATCCATACATCCCTTTCCCACCCCACCCCCAACCCCACAAAAAAATAAAAAAGCTTTTAAAGCTCTAAATATACTTTTTTTTTTTCCTTTCCATAGTGTGATTGAGCCTAGGGCTATACGTTTAAGTATAGCAGGTGCAATTACAAGCAATTCCTGGCTCTGCACCCTGGACTGTCCCACGCATAGGAGGAGGTACAAAATAAATTAGACCCTTTCATTTAGGCAAACAAGCCCAAGATGAAGGGGCGTAACCCTGCTTGTGAGTATCCAGCGGCATCGAGGGTATTATTTATTTCTTACTTTTTTTATTTTTTCTTTTCTTTTATAAAAAACAGTCAGATGGTAGGGAGAGCAAAATATAACAAAATTTAAAAGGACAAAAACTAAACACTGAAGGAAAACAACTAGGGACACTTGCACGATGCGAAAAAGGAATGCATGCTTGATTCAAAGTATGAGATGGGTCAATTCACTCACATAGTTGGTTTAGGCCCACAGCCTAAGGCCTCAGCATCATTCTAAACCACAGGGTTGTATTTTTTTCTTCCAAAGACACTCTTAATCCTATCCCTGAAACCAATATGGTAGGGATACGGTTGGAGTGATCATCACTCACTAACTACAATATTTGCTATTTAAAAAATATATTTATATATAGTTCTGGAAATTATGAAGCAAACAAAATATAACACAAAGATGCATTTGTCACAATTAACTCAAGTTGCAGCAACAGCAGAATTGTGGGAAGGGACAAAGAGAGAGGGCTGCTGCAAATGCAGCAAGTACGACCTTAAATATGTCACATAGTGCAACAGTCAGATTACCTCAGTTACTCTGCGTCACCGCACACAACATGACAAATGTCACATTGTCACTTTCAGTTAAAAAAGAAAAAGACAGTGTTTCTTCTCAGAAGTTGCCCTATGAATTTTAGACATATAGCTATAACTGCTTCTCTAAATGTCTAAAATTTGGCTTTATTCTTCTCAGTTTGGAATGATCAACATACAAAATTGACATCAAGGATATCTGTGTAGTTTCCACCTTAACTCTGAGGACAGGATAAGGTGCAAAGAGGATCCTGGCCTTTCTCATTTCAAATGACTGCATTTCATTCCAATGGGCAGAAATTCTTCATAAACCTATGATTTTAATGTGTTCTATCTATAAAGATGAATTTATGGCAAACAAAAGTTTACACTATCAAAAATAAATGTAATGCAGACTCAAAACCAAAAAGCTAAAATCAAAAGGGCTAAAGGAGAATATTTGTTACAAATTTATTTTTTACCATTAGTATTTGAACTTGCACCTTTACTCCAACACTTTGAAAGTAAATTATTTCGTCTTTGGCAGCCTCTGCCAACTTTACATTGAATCCCTGTTAATGTTCTTTTAAAAAAAAAATCTATTAATTCCATTAAACCATGTTGTGTTTGGTGTTGCATATGACTTTACTGCTGTTTCTTTCTAGGAATTAACAATGCCAAGTTTTGTTTGTTTCTTTTTTTTTGACAAAGTGACCAAGATGACAGTATCCATAATTAGCTGACTTTTACGTACACACTGTGACCTGATAATCCTGAAACACTTCATGGGGGAATAAGGTCAGTGGCTTTTTTTTTTCCTTTTTCTTGAAAACAATAAAACTGCTTATTCTACTTTATATCTAAATGGAAGGAAGAAAATATACAAGCCCATATTTATATTGTATTTCTATGAAGAGCAACAACAGTTCATATGTTCATGTTTGCTACTATCACAATTCAATACATGAACACGGAATTGGCTCTACACCATGAATACTGCTGGAAGTGATGGTTAGGATTATCAACTCACTCTGCCATGTCCATAACAAGCAAAAGTATCCTGCAAGTAAATCCCCAAACACGTATCTTTCAGTACATAAAAATGCAACTGCATCAGGCAAGTACATACTGTATACAAGTTTTATCAGCAGTTTACCTACCCAGATGTAAGATTCCTCTTTTAAATACAAAGCAGAGAGCCAATAAGATATATCTACAATACAGCCCTAGATTTTGTTTTTTCTTTTTTGTCTTAAACAATTTGGTCACGATGCACCTTTGATATAAAAGCATTTTTAAACTTTATTATTAATACTCAGGACATTAGGAATTTCCAGATTTTTTTTTCAGTAGCATTTGTAGAACCACTTTTGGTAACAAATACAGTAGTTAGGAATACGCATCCAATTCAGAATGCATAATAACGTTTATCCTGAATCCTTTGTGGCTAAAAACAGGGCTGGTGCTATGATGAGATATAGAACGAGAATCTACAAAAAACACTGTAACATGTTTGTTTTTTCCCAGAGGCTACATCCTCTTTTGCTGGAATACTTTATAAATACATATTAAAAAGTAAGGCAACAACTCCAAACAGTCCAAGCTGTTTGCTCTTCTTTTCCCAATTAGATTCACAATCCTGGCGATCAATTTCATGGTTGTATTATTTAGTGTTTGTCATTCTTATTTCAAATGATCCAAAAGGATGTTTTTCTGACATTTCTAAAACATCTCTGGTATATGTATCCAATGATGTATGCAACTAATACTGGTCAGGTACTGAAGCCAATGATGTCCCTGTTTTCAAAGGATTCAAGACATTGATTTGGATTCACCATAAACTGATGCATGAATCCAAATTTCCCTTCCCTACTATGTTTATCACCTCTTCTCTTTTTACTCCTAATTTTAAAACTAAAGGAGTACCAGGACTACCTGGTTACTGGAAAGATGTTCACCCCAGTAAACAAAACTTTTATCAGGGACCTTTATAATTCATGGCCCTGTTTCACATGGACATTCAACTCAGGAAGATGTGCAAAAGGAAAAGATGTCAAATTACAGTCAAGTTATCCAGAGGAGGATGTTATACAAACTTATAAGGAAATGACAGTCTTTTTTTCTTCCTTTACTATAAATACATTTAACAGCTTAGCAGAAAGACAAGCTAAATTTAAGATTGTTCACATTTGAAAATTGTATCAGACTCTCTGCTAGTGATAAATAAGGAACTCCCAATAATGGAATTTTAACATAGCAATTTCATTAACAGATCTCTGAAGACCGCTTTTTTAAAAGAGGGTTAGAACAATGATTATGTTTGCAAAGTTCTGAGAAGTCCATCTACTGTCCAAACTTTGGATTGAAGTCCTTATTTTTTTCCTTTACTTAGAGACAGGTATATACAGTGCTGTTGTAATAATGAAACAAATGTGAAATCTACTGTAAAGTTGCACAATACAGAAAACTGTTGCTCCATCTTCTACTACATAAATGTGTGACTCCACAGGTTAGTAATGGTGTTGTCGTTATTTTTGTTAAGTTGGAATTATCCCATCACGTCTAAGACCTCTCTTTAACTCCAGATCCTCCAATTTTTTCCACAATTCTTCACGCTCCTTTTCTTTCTTTTTCTCACTGAGGAAGAAATAGAATACAATGTAAACAACTGAGAAGGTCTAAAGAGATTATCCAGCAATAACTGCCCCTTAACATAGTTTTCCCTACATATGTTCTAAAAGGTTCGCAAAAAATTTTTGGCATTAAGCTTGTGGGTGGTTTTCTTTTTGCTTTTCCTCTTTCAAGCTTTTTTTGTTTTTTAACTCATAGAGACACAAAAGTAGTATTAATGAAGAGTAAGAGATGACAAGAATACTTTAATACCCATTTGTACATAGCTCAAATCAGAAAATTAACTTTAAAATTACTGAGAAAGAAAAATGGGGACAATTTATATGTATCAATTATCCTAAAACTAAAGGCACATTAGTGATTTTTACTTGGGGCCTAGTTAGAATCTAATTTTTCTTTATCTCTAAATATTACAGTTTCTCAAAAAGGAAGCTGGAGATAACACTGATACAGAGAATGTAGCAGGTCCAGAAAACATATCCTTCCCTTTATTCTTAACTATTTTTCCTACCCTTTGTAAATTTAAACTCCATAGCAGTTTAGAAAGAAGTAAAAATGTGTGATTTCAGGCTGGGTGCAGTGGCTCACACCTGTAATCCTAGCACTTTGGGAGGCTGAGGATCATTTGAGGCCAGGAGTTCGAGACCAACCTGACCAAAAGCAAGATCTTGTCTCCAAAAATCTAGAAAAATTGGCCAGGCATGGTGGTGACATGCACCTGAGGCAGGAGGATTGCTTGAACCCAGGAGTTTGAGGTTGCAGTGAGCTATGATGACACCACTGTACTCTAGCCTGAGAGACAGCAAGACCTTGTCTCCAAAAACAAAAACCAAAAAAAACCCAAACTTGTGACTTCAGTTTTAATTAATTACCTAGATAGAACTTTATTGATATATTATGTATGAATTTTTTAATGTACCAAGTCTTCAAATTTGATTCAGTATCAATTTTACTACTGATTTCCAGACTTTTGGATTTTCCTGTTTGTAAAAGCTGCCCCAAAACCAGATATCCAAAATAGGGTCAAACAAAATTTATTTTGCTAAGGACATTTTTTAATTACCATATTTTAAAAAAAGAAAAGATGTTCTAACATCAAACAAGTATACATCATCCAAGAATATATGACTATATTGTAAGTTAAATGAATTCACATTTATTAAAAATAATTCACTGCACTGTCCCTGGTTCCTCATGTTGCAATGAACCAGTAAAAAGCAGATCCAGATAATATTTGTGAATCCAGGAGTTCAGATAATTCCTGAAAACGGGGGCTCTGCCATCTCCAACATGGAGATACGGTCCTTGCACTACCTCATTTAGCAAGGATTTAACTTCAGCCACAGCACAATTTTTACTCAGGGAACTCCACATGGGTTATGGAAAATCTATATGTAATTCCAGTGCCTTATTTTACGTTGTCATCAATATTATTAAAAGGTATATTAATACCTAGAGCAGTAGAAATTAATCTTCATCCTCAAATATCCCCCCAAATCTCTAGAAAAACCTAAAGTAAATTTATATTCTCATTCCACTAGAGTCTTGAGGGAATAATGAATTATATAATAAGGTAATTAATATTATTTCATAATTAATATTTTGGTAATTTAGGCCTTGTTTACTACAATTAGTTTCGGTTATCTCAAAATGCACAATATGAATTTCAGTGAGTGTAACAGTTTTCATATAATTAAACTATTTGGTAATTTTGACCCTGAAAAATTATATTTATAGGGCAATAGGGGCAAGATTAGATAATCCTCTAATCATTATGAATTTCAAATTCTTAACATAAGCAAGCTGCTTGGCAAATTATCAATTTTTGTTTCTTGGTACAGTTTAGGGATAATATTAGGTCTAAATAAATGTTAGCATAGAACACTGATTTGAGTACATATAAATCAATTCTATATATGCTGTTAAGTTTCAGTGCATGTGACTTTTTATTTGGAGGAAGAAGGGGATGGTAAGCAAGGGCTTGGGAACTTTATTCATCTAAAAAACAGCTCACCATGTGTCAAGTGCACAATGCCCTAATTTGCAGTCAAACTGAGTGTTGACATCAACAAAGCACTCATTATCTTGTTACTAAAATGTTTTATTCATGTTTTTGATCAAGAGTTTCATGGCATTCAATGCAATTTGTCTTGTGGGGCTTTTCTTCCAGATGAGCTTTACGTTACGTTATCATACAGCTTTCATGATGACAACTTTATCTTGAAAAATTCTAAATATTTCTGATATAGTTACGGTCACCCCCATTCTTTCCCACTTTTCTCTCTCTTTGTAGGTGGGAATTTTAAAACTAAACTATATTGTCACCCTGGAGATATTGTCAAATTCTCTTCCAATTGCAATTTTACATAGCACTAATGTTGGCATATGTGCCTAACAGTGTTAAATACTCATTCCACCCACCATTTTCAGATTTATAACACTTAAAAATTTGATCTGAACTGAAATCATTAACTTCATGTCATCCAGAAATATAATCCTCCATTCAGTTCTTCTGAGAGTACCAAATTAACCTCTTCATTCTCTTTTCCCATTCCCACATCTACAAAGAAACCAATGTTTCCATCTGTCAGTACAACCTTCTATTGCTTCTTTGACAAAGTATTACCCTTGCTTTTAAAAAATTCTTCTCTCATTAAGAAAGTCCACTCATTATAAATCACTTTAATATACAAGAATATCAGAATCACCTTCACAATTTTGTCTCTTCCTAGTCCCCTTAGTTAATTCTTATCTTTCTTAAGGGTTGGATCTATTTATTTTAGATTACAAAATAATCAGAAAACAGTTTTATTAATGAAGTTCACTAAATATGAAACAATTGATTTGAGTATTTTTAAAATAAGGCCTTCAATATTCTTGATGGGATTCTACCGATTCAATCCTTGTTCAACTAGGATAATAATAATGAGCTTTCAGTTGCTCTAAAAGAGAGGGTCTTATGTACAATGCACATTTAACGCACACTTAATGGTGTATCACAGTATTAAAATGTGCCCTTAACCTATTTAAGTAACATTTTAAAAATATTTTAATTTAAGCTTGGGGCAAGGAGAGTTATTATTATAAATTTAAAGACTTGCAACAACTGCTAATATAGTAAATTAAAAGTTGTTCAAATTTCAAATATAGCATGACATATTCCATAATTGATATTTATATCAATATTCTGATACAAAATTTCAACCTTTTCTATCTATAGCTAAACACCTGCCATATTCCATAATTACATTGCTTTTCATAAAACACTTCCCTGGTAACTTAAATAAATCACTGCAATGGTTCTTTGCCCTCTGCCACCAAACTTTTCTCTTCATTGCTTTTTATTAGCAAAATGCAAGTGACACACTAAAAATCAGGCAAAGCAAAGAAGCAAGGGAACCACAGATAACGTTGCTCAGGAGGTCCACCAAGGTCCTGGGTATGAATACTCGCATGCACATCTGGGATCCCTCTAAAGTCCATGGTTTTGTAATATGCAAAGCTAACATTTGCTTTTGGGTGATCAAAGCCAAAGGCAGAAGTTCAACTATTAAGAGCTCTCTAGGCTTCCCTTAATTTCTCCATGTACAGCTTTTAGAAAGTTGAACATACTGAATAAGACATAACGAAATTGAAGAATTGTGTAAATGAAATCAAGACAGGCTTTACTAAGCCATAAGCATTTACTGTAAAGGGTTCCACTGGTTTTTGTTCCCCTATGGTCTTAAACATTTCAAGATTTGTATAATACCAGACTATTAAGCTGCATGTTCTTTTCACTGTTCTTTAAATTGCAATGAATTTGTTAGGTTCTAGTAAGTTCTGGGCCAAAGAGCTAGATAAATGGTACCTCATCCCTCCTGCTGCTAGAGTGAAATACAAGATCAGCCCAATGCTAGTTCAAGTAAAAGTTTAGAATGGGAGTAAAGCCAGGAAGCAAACTATTAATACTTGATGGTCTTCTTAAATGGGCCTGACACCAGTTACATGCCAGGCTCTTAACCCTGAGGCAGAACTGAGGTATTAAAGGAAGGGAGAAAAGCAGTCTTTATCAAAATGATACTATCACAAAGCTTTTTTGCCTAGTGGCACACTAATAAAGACACAGCTAATGAGCGTGCAAAAATGAATATACAAATACAGTCATGTGTTGCATAACAATGGTTTCAGACCACATATACCATGGTGGTCTCATAAAACTGTAACAGAGCTGAAAAATTCCTCTTACCTAGCGGATTTGTGTTACAATTGCCTACAGTATTCAGTACAGTTACCTGCTGTACAGGTTTGTAGCCTAGGAACAATAAGCTGTACCATATAGCCCAGGTGTGCAGTAGGCTATGCATACAGGTTTGTGGAAGTACACTCCATGATGTTCACCCAATGAGAAGACTGCCTAATGACACCTTTTTCAGAACATATCCCCATCATTAAGCAATGCATGACCATAAATAAAATTGTGCTGCTTATGATTTGGGATACAACTAGCCAACTTCAGCAAAGAGCAAGGAAAGAACTCAACAGTTTTATGCACAGCTGACAAAAAAGCTTTAAAAAGTTACCGCTGACGATCTGACTTGTATGTGGCTGTCAGCTCATCAAACATGGTGCTGTTCATTTCCATAAATGCCTTCAACACATTGTACACTAACGCCACAATAGCCCTGCGAAGCACAGAAAAATGGGGGCATATTAGTTAGTCTTACATACTGGGATGCTGAATGAAGAAAGCAGAAGCCCAACTTTGGTCTGCATGAGTTCCTTGTACTGTGTATTGTCTCCATCCCTTTTTAGTTGGAACACCTAGAAGTGACCCACAGTTCATTTCCACATCGAGAGGTTTATTCTTTACTATTCAAGGCCAGATATGTTTCTGAGGGGTGGTAAAATTAGAACAAAAAAATCTAATTTTGCCCTCTATTAATTATTGGTGCCCAGAATAAACTTGTCTGTGGGCAATGAATAACTTCATTTAATAAAAAGGCAAGTACAAAAATAAAGCAACTTTACTCTAAAAGAAGCACCTGTGATAGGACCAACCTTAGACACCTGGATTTGCATAGTATTTTAAAGTAATAATATACATAATTCAGCAACATCAGAAGCTGTTCCCATAGAAACAAATATTTTATATATACATATACACACATATATATGTACATAAAAATGATTCATATGCAAAGATATGATATCAAGCCCCTGTAAGATGGGCAGTTTAATATGAGTTATTTGTCTGGCTGTGATTTGCTTTAGTGCACCCACTCCTGCTTGTCTCCTTGCTGACCTGATACATACGTTGGTAAGACAAGTGGCAAACTGGCAATGGCTATTAGCTCTGAAACACTATACAGCTAAATAGCCAAAATGGTGGCCCATACTTATCTAGTGGAAAAATAAGCTCTTGGGCAATGTGAGGTCTGTGCAATGATGAGTTTGACAGCTTCAGACTGGAGTCTAAATAGCTTTACCCTCTGCAAAAATATCCGTTGCTTCCGTTTTGCAACAAACATGCTCCCAATACCGCTGAAAAAGGCATTGGTAAAAATTAAGCCACAGATTAAATAAACCATGAGTCTGATGTTTCTAAAACATTTACAAGAAAGTGCATTTGCTGTGTAGCCTCTTCCCTGTGCCCATTAAAAGGAAAATTTAGGTTCCCTCCTGTCAAGATTCCAAGGACCTTCCTCACAAGGGCAATGATGGAGAAGTACTAAAGACAGTACACTGGACAGTTAGACACGTGCTAGAACCATCTCTAGGTCCTCAAGAGACTATCTTTATGGGATTTAATTGTTTACCACCTCCTTATTTTTACAAGGTCTATTAATAAAATTTGGCAGATTTGAAAAATGAGAAAATATGCTTTTTTAAATTACGTGCAAAAATTTCAAAGACAAACATATGAATATACTGAATTACACCTACTAATATTTTAATGCCATAGTAAATTTTGCTTCCATTCCACAGAAAAAATACATAAGGTCATTCAAATATAGAATACTTTAATTTCATGGGGCTGGATATTAAACATCTCCTTGAAGATTTTAAACTCTGTCTTTTCCAAGAGAATATGTATACTGACTGAGTTGGTTGTTAAGAAATGATCTTGCTAAAATGCAAATCTAGTCAGGACATTTCCTTCCTTACAAGCCTTTAGCTTGGTGAAGGCCCATGTGAACCCTGTGTTTCCTTTTCTAGCCTACCTTCCAGAACTCTCCCCAAAAAGCCTTGTACCTTAGCCCTCTCCCAAACTCACAAGTCTCAGAACTTGATAGGTGCTTTTTACATTTTTGTGCCTTTTTGTGTGCTGCATGGACCCACTGTCTGAATGGGCTTTTCCCCATCCCATCCACCTGCCAAATTCCTTTAAGATTCAGCTTGAGCACTGCCACTCCATCTATACCCACAAACCTCTCCTCTCAGCCCCAGAGCATCCCCCCAAAATATCTTGCTACCTTCAGAGATAGTCAGGAAGCCTCTCAAGTAAACAGATATTTTAACAAAACAGCACAAAATATGTGTTTATTTGTGGGTATCTCCAACCAGTCAGTGAATTTTGAAAAGGTGGGGAGATTTTATCTATTCACAAATCTGTCTTCAGCAGCAAGCACAGCATCTGGCACAAAGCATTCAAGACATTTTATTGAGAAAAAGGGGAAGGAAGGGAGAGAGAGAGGAAAGGATGAGAAAGGGGAGGGGAGGAAAGAAACTGAAAACCTACGGATTCCAATGTTCTTTCGAAATCCTATAAAGACTGGAAAACATGATGGGAAGGATGACATTAGAGTTTTCTTCTATCAAACTCATGATGTATTCATTATTCCAATAATAGAGTGCCCTTTCTGCCACCTTTGGGAAAAGAAAAATAAAATGTTAAGAGGGAGAAAAAGACAAAGGTAAAATAAAATTATAATCTTTCCAAAGAAAAATATTTTAAAAAACTGTTTTTAAATCATTCATTCAAACATAAAATTAAATATTAATCATATTTTACATTTTTTATGGATTTAAAATCCCTCATGTTCCAAAATGTTTCATCAATTTGAGTAAGGAAAATAAGTAAATTTTCCTGTTAATTTATATACTCCTCTAATTCTGCCCATGTCATCTGATTCTACATTTTCCTGACAAAGCTCCCATGCTGCAAACATCTTTGCCCTCCTTCCACATCCCATACCATTGTCCCGATCACTTTAGTTAGCATCCTACAGGTTCCCTTCCCAGCTCACCTCTTTCATCCTACACACTCAAATCAACCACAGGGCCCAGCATGTGGCTGGCGTTCAGTCACAGCTGATGAGAAAAACCCATAGTCACCCATCCCTGGAGAGGGCCACACGTTCTAATCACCCCCTATGGGCAGGCACTGTGCCTACAGTAGGTAGAAAATATCCTCATCACCACCATCCAAGAAGTAGTACCATTGTGCTCGTTTTACAGATAAGAACAGAGGTTCAGAGAGATGGGGTAACCTATGCAAGGTTACACTGCCAGCAAAAAGCTGGGGACTCACTTTCAGGGCTCCTACCAGAGTTAGTTTCTGGTCCCTTCCTTTGAACTGGACAAGCCAGTACACTGGCTGCACCTACACCCACCTGCTAGCTAAGATCCCTTTTCTCTGCTTATCATGCCATCAACTGACTCTAATTTGATTTGCTGGGCCTGGCTTGCTTATCTTGAATTTTATGAATTCAAGGAACACCTCAAAAACAAAACCTAAAATCTCTAAAAAGGATTGTTACATGGGGAAAGGAAAAAGAATAGCTTCCTTCAGTCATATAGATTAAGAAATTACATTTTAGAAGGGAACAAAATGGTAGAAGATGTACCCACCAATAGACTCTGAGAAATTAGAACCTTTACATTTACATTACTCAACTTGGTCCAAAAAATTCCTGAGACTCATTGTACTAGACCCTGGGCATACAAATAAAACAATCATGATTAAATGTTTACTATATGCCAAGGCTCTGTGCTAAGTGTTCCACACATATATTATCTCACTAAATTCTCACAACCAACCAACCAAATTGATACCATTATTCTATTTTACTGAAGAGGAATCTGAGGCTCCGAGAAGATAAGCTATTGGCTCAAGGTCATACAACTAGCAAGTGACGGACTCCAAAAGAGACTCGACTCTTAACTTCTTTATTCTGTTATCCCTAAGGAGTTTATATGCTGGTGGGGAAAGTGGGTGTCTATGAGCCTATCCAACATAAACTGTGACAGATGCTGAATCAGACACATGACGAAAGCACCAGGAGAAAGAGCAGAATGAATAATCCAGATGATTTGGGGGAGAGAATGGCGGCGGGAACGTAATATAGGAGGTGGCATTTAAGCTGGGCTTCGAAGAATGAAGGAAAGAAGGTAAGTGCATTCCAGGTAGATGGAATTGCAAAAAGGAGAGCAGAGGCACCAACAAGGTCAGTGTGTTTGGGAACCAACCAAGCAAATGGGATAGCTGATGCGGATGGAGCACGAGGCAAGGAAAGGGCTGCAAGAAAGGAGGAATGGGAATGAGGTTGTTCTGAACCTTGTGACTGAAAGGAAGAATGCTCAGTTAGACCACAGGAGGATGCCAGTAAAGGAGGAGGGACTCGGATTTTCCCTCATCCAATTATGAGTGTAATATTTACACCTGCTACTTAACTCTAAAGAGTACCTTAATTTCTATTTATCTACTTTTTAATACATAAAATCACTTATGGAAAGAAAGTATATCCAGCCCCTTAAAGAGAAAAGGTGTTATTTATGCAAAGTAAAAATTACTGTGTCTGACACTAGCACAAAACCACTACTCTCCTGGTACCCACCTTCTACACACAGTGACAGCGTCACTTACTGGGAAACCTCTGACCCCAGTGACACACCTGGGGCAAACAATGACAAGTGTCTGACTACACAGAGTGGGTACTCAATAAATGTTTGCTGGATCAACCAATGGACACGTAACAAATAAACAGCCTCTTGCCTTTGTTTTCAGGTTTACTTCTGTCAAAAAATTTAAAATTCTTGTTTCTTTCCACTAGGTACTGAATTATGTCCCCCCCCCATAATTCATATGTTGAAGTTCTAACCCCACTGTGACTATATGTGGACATAGGACTTTTAGGAGATAATCAAGGTTAACTGAAGTCATAAGGGTGGGTGTAAATCAGAGAAGACCCATGGCCATAAAGGAAGGAGAGCGTGAGATCGCCCCCTCTCTGTGTATGCACACAGCAGGAAAGGCCATGTGAGACACAGCAAGAAGGGGGGATTCTGCACACCGGATAGCGGGACCTCATCAGAAACCAACCCTGCTGGCACCCTGATCTCAGACATCCAGCCTCCAGAACTGTGAGAAAATAAAATCTCTATTGTTTAAGCCATCAGACTATGGCATTTTGTTACGACAGCCTTAGCTAACTAAGACACTGTCTCTCTACTTAAGCCTCCATGGTGATGCATATTTTAAAACAGATTCCTGTTCCCTTCACCTCCATGATACTAAAAACATCCTGATGAAATCTGAAAAATTAGGTAAACATTCTAGATGTTTGTGCACTACAGGCCCTGGGTAATATCAAAATATCTATATACCAGTCTGTAATTTCTCTATTTTATCTAGGCATGTGTTATATCTGAACACTTGATATAATACTTTCTACTTTTTTGTTTTTTGAGGTTTTTGTTTGGTTTTGTGGCACAACTGTTAGATTGTCATAAGATCACTGCTTTAACATACCAACATGTCTTTAGGTCAAAAATTAAAGCAATAGCCAATATTTCTGACTATGCAGGACAATGACAGCTTAGGGGAAAAGTCCACCACACTTGTTAGAGGTGTGGTTCTGTGCTGACAAGCAGTACGTAAAAAGTCAATTCTCAGGTTTGTGATATGGACCTTCAGTGAGACAGCCTAAGGATAAACCTAAAGTGTGTTCAATCCGGATCACCTTCTTTTCTCCTGGTGGGGTCCCTAGCACTGCAGCTACGACCTCAAGAAAACAGTTCCCTGTGTTCCCCCGAGTAGCCACGAGGAGGCAGAGCAGTGCTGCTGGAAGGTTATGGGCTCTAGCAAGAAGCTACACCTAAGATCAAAACTTGGCTCTACTGCCTGTGAACCTGGGACCTTGAGCAAAGGGTTCTCCGAGCCTTATTGTTTTTTTTTAATCTAGAAAATTTTCAGAGGATAAAGTGAAGTTTATAAATAATGTATGTAAAGCACATAGCACAGTATGGAATATTAGGGTTCTCTTTTCCTTTTAAGCATTATTTAGCATTCTCTCTTACACACTTATAGAAACCCTACCAGCCCAATTATTCAGCAATTTACCCAAAACACTTTTTGCCACTTTAAGCTTCGGTGTTCACGTTTGTAATTCTGTAAAAAACATAATGCCCTCCTTGCAGGGTGTTATGAGAATTAACATTACTGGACAGAAAGCACCATTACTGCTGTTATATAGTAGGTACTCAAGATAAAGGTGGCTATAGTTAAAATTATTATCATCATTGGAGAAAACAGCAAACAAACAATAGGTAGCTAGTGTCCATTACATTTTTTTCAACACAAATAAAATTTAACCCAAATTAATTCATGTTGCAATTCACTCTGGCTCATGTTCTCTTTACTACTAACCTGAAAATGGGGACTAGATACACACTTAGCAATTTGTTTAAACAAAGGTTCTTGAATTTTAACAAATTGTGAAGGTTCAATCACATCCAATATTTCTTCCAGCTCCCCAAGGAACATGACCTGTAAGTACAAGCAAAACACAAAACATGAGGCATTCCATTAAAAAATCCATATAAGCAGTGAGGATTAATGAGTTTTAGTTAGTTTTAAGTTTGTACTATTTTAAGAAAAATTTACACATAAAACCAAATACAAATGAGCCAGGTATTATCCCACTTTAGAAGATGTTCATTTCACAAAGAATTCACCATAGGGGCCGGGCGCTGTGGCTCACGCCTGTAATCCTAGCTCTTGGGAGGCCGAGGCGGGCGGATTGCTCAAGGTCAGGAGTTCAAAACCAGCCTGAGCAAGAGCGAGACCCCGTCTCTACTATAAATAGAAAGAAATTAATTGGCCAACTGATATATATATATAAAAAAATTAGCCGGGCATGGTGGTGCATGCCTGTAGTCCCAGCTACTCGGGAGGCTGAGGCAGAAGGATCACTCGAGCCCAGGAGTGTGAGGTTGCTGTGAGCTAGGCTGACGCCACGGCACTCACTCTAGCCTGGGCAACAAAGCGAGACTCTGTCTCAAAAAAAAAAAAAAAAAAAAAGAATTCACCATAGGGTACTTCGTCAAAGCAAGTTCCCTACAGCATTGCAAATATAATTCTACTTACTTGGAAAACTACTCTATTCACTATGTATATTACACAGAATAAGGAGAACTTACACCCCACACTGGGGCTCCTGGGAAGCAGTACTTTCCCTGTAGGGCTCTCCTCTCTATTGCTAGCAACTGAGCAATCTCCCCTGAATGCTTTTTTAAAACAATAGGAGGGTGGCCCTCCTACATGGATAAGCAAAAGTCCAAATGTAGTCATTTGCCAGATAGTTATTATAGCCCCTGCAATGTGCTAGGTGCCCCTCCAGGATATACAGAACAGATAAAGTCTTAGAAACACAAATGAGCAGACTCACCCACATACAGGCACCACTTTAAACTCAATAGCACACACTGACCCATTCTCCACACTTACATACAAACACAATTGCTCTCTACAGAGCACAAGAAATCTCGTGGCCTCGGCACTGTATGCCATGACAAACAGAGCATTTAGATCACAATACAGAGCCAAATCAATAGTGGAAGTCGATTGTTTTAAATATAATGGAAAAATGACAGAGAAATAAAAACCAATTTACCTACTTAGACATGAAAAAAATAATTACCTTGGAAAAAAAATTAAGTCTGAAAAATGGCAATGCTTTCTTATCTTGAGATGCACCTGGGTAGCAATGCATGGCTTAATTTTATTTAACAGGTATTAAGAAATAAGATGATCTCAAATTGTATAAAATAGGGTTTGGAGAATTGAAGTTAATTTGAGAAGAAGGGTGTTTTCCTCTAAAAGGAAAATACAGTAGACCCTTTCCATCTGTCGACATGTACACATAGATGTTCTCCTAAAGTCTATCAAAATATAAAACTAACAGCTGACCTATTTTCTGGGCCATTTTCCACATGGCTTCTAACCGTTCAGAAGAGTATCTGCAGATCTGCTGTCCAATTAGGTCCACCTCTAAGCCAAGAAGCCTCACTTACTCCCCGACAACAACCTCACACAGTAGTACACACCTAGCTAGTTCTCAGCAAAGATACAAATGATTGCAGGTCTGAACCGTCCAGGGTCACTTGTGAATGGCTGAAACTAAAGGTCTACTATAAATTGTAAGACAGTAAGATTCCATCTATACTATGCTTTCAAGTGGGTATTTGGGCAGGTTGCTTTGGCATCTTCCTACAGTGACAGTAAAACCTCCATACTATGAAGGAGGTCACTAGGAAAGTGACATCAACAGAGCTAGACAACTGGACACATGACTGGGGCCTGGCCTGCACTCACCTGATGCCAAGCACCACAGTGAATAAAAACCCAAGGTGCAGAGGTCAGGGAGGCAGGGTCTGGCCTAATCTCCTGTTCTTAGTGTTCTTGGGCAAGGTACTTAACCTCTCTACAGTTTCATAATTAGTGAAACAAAATTTTATAGCCCTTAATAGAGCTACAGTGAGGTTCAGAAGAGATAGTGTATTTTTGCACATACTTAGCCCAATGCCTGGCACTTGGCAAAGTATTTAGTAAGCTATTAACACTTTCTGACATTAATTACTTACCTCTTTTTGACTACACGTTTTAGGCCAAAATTTCATTAACCCCCTAATAACCTAAAATGAAAAAGAGAAAAACAAATGGCACTTAATTTTTTCATATACGCTTCTAGGAAAGGTGGTTTCCTTCAGTGTTTTTAAATTATGGAATAAATACTTACAGGTTCTGTGAGTGAAGGATCTTTCTCCAGAAATTGTACTATACAATATGCCAGCTGAAGAAAACAAAAAAAATGAAAGACAAAATTTTACATTCTATATAGTAAGGGTTCAAAAGGTATATTATTAAAACTTCCTAAAAAAGTTTCTGGACTGGTTTTAATAACTTTACATTTGATTCATTTTAACTATTATAAAATAAAATATATATGAAACAAAATAAAAAGCCACTTTTTCAAGCCAAAAATTGACACTAATAAGGCTCCAGGGGAATTTGTAAAAAAGAGTATTGGAACATGAAGTATCCAGCTAATGAAAAACAGAGGTGAAATATCACATTCAGTGTATCGTGAAAGTATCTCAGCTACACACAGTTTGAGCCACATCTCATGGGCTTTCTTTCTCTTTCCGCTACCATCAACAACTCTGGGCTTTACTGTGGTCCCAGAAGAGTCCTCTGTGGGAAGCAGGCACTTACTAAAAACCTTGCCGATTGTCTGAAATGGCACATGCAAACTAAAGCAGATTCATGGAGAAATAAAAGGTTGTGTCTGCCAGTAAGAATTGGAGAAATACAAAAAGAATTCTACATCTGTTGCTAACACATCAAAGTAAGAATTCTTTTAAATAATCACCAAATGTGATATCCCATTTCAAAAACTAAAGGCAAGATCTGTAAAAGGGCTTGTAAAGATTCTTGGACAACAACACTACTGTCACAGAACAACATTTTGGTGGTGTTCTAAATTAGAAACATATGGACTAATTTTTCCTCAAAATACAAAATTTCACATTTAAAGAGGAATACTGCTTAGAAAAATGTACATTTTTGAGCAACTCAAAACGTTCCCATGGGGGCGGGGGCAGTCAGATGTCTGAAATACTAAAACTGAAAAAACCACGAGATAATGATCTACTCTCTGTGACATGCTTACCATGCAAGACAGTGTTAGCACGGAAATTAGAGTGGAGACAAGACAGGGTATGCTTTTTAAAGTGATGAGGGCTTAAAAAAAGATGTGAAAATACTGATCGATTTGTTTACTTGTGAGAGTATTTATTTGTATATAGAAAGTGAGGAAATGGTGAATGAACTAGAGGGAGCAAAAGGCAACTGATAAACTAATGCAAAGTAAAGACAGAACAAAATACTCAAAACATTAAAAAATGCTTACATCTATCCAAAGATCTACATCTGGAAAACTCACATACATTATATGCAATATGTTCAGTATATAACTGTGTGAACTTAGGCAAGTCATTTAAAATGAGATGACTGAACAAAGGCTCTTTGTTCCCATCATTCCCATCATTCTACTGTGCACAGAAGAAAATATACACATTTATATTTCCCTCGGGGAGTATTTTAAACTTTAGCAAGTCTCTTTTTTAAGAAATTAAGGAAATATCAAAGATACACTAAATTTGCCAACTTTTTGCTTCCAAAAATAGTATAAAATTCTACCTGGGCATGGAAGAGAGATAAGCTCCTGACAGTGTGTAAAGGGATCAACACTTTCACCAGAAACTGTTTGTGTTCTGCCTTAAGAGGTAAAGCAAAGCCATTGATAATACTAGGAAAAAGAAAAGAGACACAAATTAGCAATGTTACCACAAGCTAAATTGAGACACACTGTTCTTGTGAGATTGGTTAAACTTAATCGGTTTATGTTTGTAAAGAACAACCTAATACCCATCCCAGTGACATCCAAAATTTCTTAGTTACTTCAAAAAAGACATTTCAGTAGGAAGGAATTAAGGGAGGAAGAAAATTTGCCTATGATAAGCCAACAAAGGCTCCTGTGCTCTTAAAATTAGTTGGATGCTTCCCAAAAGCTCTTTATCAAAAACTCTTTATTTTCCTTCCCTTTTCCTTCTCTAAATAACTGCCTGCCTTGCTCACTTCCTCTTTAAATATGACTGTTTCCATTTCCAGACAACACTTCTCATGCCTGAAATCTCTATCCAGCCTAGGACAGTCACTGAGAGAAAACCCTGTGATTCCACCTTCCTTTTCTCCTCATATTAGGAAGAAAGACTAAGTAATTTCATTGCCCAGTCACATGACCCTCCCTTGTGTGTGGAAGCTTACATAACAGCAATGTCTTTCCAATTCATTCCACTACTCTAGGCAGCAGCTGTTCAAGAACTACACCTGGGTACACAGTTCTTTTGAAAATGACAATCTTTCCAATTTACTATAAACTTGCTTTGAACACATATGACAAAGGACAGATAGCCTAGAAACTAATGAACCTAAGATGTTTTGGAGTAACTGGCCTGACTGCAATTAGATGTATCATCTCTGTAGCAATGAATGAACTGTTAGCTCCTCCAGTCATTCCAGTGGAACTAGCAATGCGTAATTGTGGAGCAAAGGAAATAGGAAATCGTGTCTTATAGAGTCATTTGGGGAACATGCTAATAAGCACAAATGAGAGCGACCCAATGTACATACAGCAAGAGATCTAGGGCAGCAGTTCCCTATGTCACCTGAACCTAATTTTCAGAATGACATTCACCTGAGATTAGCAAGTCACTAAAAAGTGCTTACCTTCCTAATATTTCCAGCAGTTCAGCTACACCATTGAAGTGTTCTGTTTCATAAACAAACCTTAAAAAAGAAAAGGAAAGAAAGGCAGGCGGGGGTGGGGGGTAGAAAGAAATCAGTACACCGTGTTCAAATATTTGAGGTTTATTTAATAATTCTATAAAAAACACCAACTTAGCTGCTGCTTCTTCTACCCCCACCCTCCACTTACCTTAGAAAAATATTGTTAATCTGTTTTCGGATAAATGCTCTAAGACCAAGAAACTTGCCATAAATTCTGTGTAAGACTGTTTTTAAGTAGTCCCGTTCCCGAGGGTCTTCACTGTCAAATAGCTCCAAAAGCTGTTGTAAATGAAATACAATATAGCTGTCAAAGGCAGTGAAGGATTTAGCAATTCTATCTCTCATTATTTAATATCCCTTCCTTCCTTCCTCACAAGTTTATTGAGCATCTGTATGTGCTAAGCATAGTGCTAGTCTTTAGGAACAGAGTGATAAATAAGTCAGACAAGGGGCTTATGTTCTAGTGAAGAAGTACATAACCGTAACAGTAATAACAATAATAATAATAGCTAACATACATGTAGCACTTCTATGATCATCAGGCAATTTTTGAAATAATCTACATGTATTAATCCTCCCCATGAATTAGTTTTAGCCCCATTTTTCAGATGAGGAAGATGGGACACAAAAAGGTTAAGTAAGTTGCCCATGGTCTCACAGCTAATACATAGTAGAATTTGATCCCAAGTAGTCAAGGCTGAAAGTCTGTGTAATTCAACCACTATACTATGCTACTGAGCTTATATTCCAAGTATACAGTTAAGATAAGCCTTCAGCTCTACCAGAACATACAGGTAAATGAAACAATCTAAACCAAAACACACACCAAAAAATTCCCAATGATACTGTCAATGTTCTCCTTCTAAATCTGGATTCTTGTTACATAGGCGTGCTTCATTCTGTAAATATTCATTGAAGTGAACATTTACTATTTCTGTATGTTTGTTATACATGACTAACATTTTTAAATTCCCAATCATTTGTAATCTAAAGTTAATAACTGAATCCTGATAACATCATATCTATATACTCATAATGAGACTCATACAACTAATCCAAAAGAGGTAACAAGCTAAAGTCTCAGGCCAAATGAGATTCAATCCAAACCCTAGAATAAAAAAATTCCAGCTGCTTTGTTTTTGCAGAAATTGACAAGTTGATTCTAAAATTTATATGGAAATACAAGAGACCCAGAAAAGCCAAAATAATCTTGGGGAAAAAAAGAACAAAGTTGGAAGACTTATACTTCTCAATTTCAAAACTTAGCATTATGGAGCCAAACTCATAGTAATCAAGACAGTGTGATACTGGAATAAAGACAAAGATCAAAACAATAGAATCGAGACTCCAAAAATAAACCATAACATTTACAGTCAACTGATTTTCAACAAGGATGCCAAGACATTTTAATGGGGAAAGAACAGTCTTTTCAACAAATGATGCCAGGACAACTGGATATCCACAAGCCAAAAGAATAAAGTTAGACTCCTACCTCATACCATATACTCAAATTAACTCAAAATGGACAGTCAACCTAAGGGTAAGAGCTAAATCATAAAACAATTAGAAGAAAACATAAGAATAAGTCTTTATGACCCTAGATTAGGTGATGGTTTCTTAGATATGATACCAAACCATAAGGAACAAAAGAAAAAATAAAGTAGAGTTCATCAAAATTAACCCTCTGCACTCGGATGTCGAGTGTGACTCGACACAGTTAACAAAATTATAGAGATTAATTAAAATTACTCTTTGAATGTATCAATAATTTGAAATATTAAAAAATCCAAATAAATAAGTTTGTATGAAAAGAAACTCTAGTTTTTTATTCTACTGCCACGCTTTGTAAAATCTGGGGTATTTAAAAAATTAAATCCCAAGTAGAATAAAGGAATCCAGAAAAAAGCAAGCGAGTGCAAAGGGTTAAAAACATTCATGCTTCAAAGGACACCATCACGAAAGTAAAAAAGACAACCCACAGAATGGGAGATGATACAGTTGACCCTTGACCAACTTATAATAGGTCCACTTATACACAAATTTTCTTTGGCCTCTGCCACCCCTGAGACAGCAAGACCCACCCTTAGACAGCAAGATTAAGCCTTCTTCTTTCTGTCTGCCTACTCATTGTGAAGACAATGCAGATGAAGACCTTTATGATGATCTACTTCCACTTAATGAATAATAAATATATTTTCTCTTCCTTATGACTTTAACATTTTTTTCTCTAGCTTACTTCATTATAAGACTATAGTATATAATATGTATTAATGTATATAAAATATGTGTTAATCAATTATTTATCAGTAAGGCTTCCCAACAAAAGTAGGCTATCAGTAGGTGGGGGGAGTCAAAGTTATACATGAATTTTCAACTGTGCAGGGAATTTGGCACTCCAACTCATGTGGTGTTCAAGGCTCAACTGTATTTGCAAATCTCTGGTAAGAGACTAGTATCCACAGTATACAAAGAACTCTTAAAGCTCAGTAAAAAGACAGTCCAATTTAAAAATGGACAAAGAATTTTTTTAATAGACAAATCCCAAAGAAGCTATATAAACAGCCAATAAACCACATGAAAGGGTACTCAATTTCATTGATTATTACAGAAATGTGAATCAAAAACAGCAAGGAGATATCTCTCATCGGATGGCTGTAATCAAAAAGAGGGATAATAAAAAGTGCTGGCAAGGATGTACAGAAATCGGAATCTTCATATATCATTGGTAAGAATGTAAAATGATGTAGCTACTTTGGAAAACAGTTTGGTGGCTCCTCAAAATTTCCAGGGTTGTTATATGACTAAGCAATTCCACTCCCAGGTATATACCCAACAGAACTGAAAACACGTGTCCATATAAAATTGTGTACACAGATGTTCATAGTAGCAATATTCATAATAGTCAAAAACTAAAACAATCCAAATGTCCATCACCTATCACCTAATGAATGAATAAACAAAATGTGGTACAATGGAATAGTATCCAGCCACAAAAAGGAATGAAGATACATGTTACAACATGAATTAATTTTTCAAATATCATGCTAAGTAAAAGAAACTAGACAAAGAAGGCCAAATAATATATGATTCCACTTCCATGAAATATCCAGAAGAGACAAATCCATAGCAACAAAAAGGAGAATGGGGAGTAATGGGTATGGATTTCTTTGGATGATGATAAAAATGTTCTGCAATTATACTATGGTGATGGTTGTAAAACTCTGTAAATATACTAAAAAACAGTGAACTAGAAACTTTAAAAGAATGAATTTTGTGGTATATGAACTATAACTCAATAAATCTGCTACCTTTTTAAAAATCATGTTGGTAAATTCCTCTGGATGAAGAACAAACTTGGAGATTGGCTTCAATTTTACTGAGGTTTTTATATTCATCATTATTGTAATGATGCAAAACTCATAGTTCTAATATCTTTATAACAAAACATTTCAAGAACATAGACAGCACACAAATGAAGGCAGATAACCATCATTATTGAAAAAGCTATCAAGACATATATAAGCTTGACTTCAGATGATTAAAATATAAGGCTGAGAATGACAGCAGAAGAATAACTTGATGGGCAACGATCAAATGTGCTTTTCTTTGAATGAAAGACTGACTTATGGGCAAAAAAATAGCCCTTCAAATATGGCAGGAAGCACAAACTGAAAGACACTCTTCAAAAATAGACAGTGAGACAGGACACAATTTTTGGCTACACAATGCCATCCATCACCCATCCATTCATTCATTCTAAAAATGAGTATTTCAAGTAAATATTTATTGTATGCCTATTAAGGGCCAACCAGTGGGCAAGGTGCCAGGGATACAATGATAAGCAAGACAGAGACAATCTCTGCTCTCTCAGAGCCTATTCTAAGGGGGAGATACAGGTAAATAAACAGCATGATAAGTGGTTCAGGATGCTATATAAACAAACAGCAGACACACTGACTCTATCAGGAAGTAGAGTGATCAGGGAAGACTTCTAGAGGAAGTGACATCCATGAAGAAACTAGGAGTTATAAGTGGGCCATGAGTGTTCACAGCAGATTCAACGGTACGTGCCCTTACTAACAGCCTATCCAAATAGAAGATGCTGTTAACATGTCTCTGCCCATTCAGCAATAAAATAAATAAATATATACTAAGCTACTGAGTTATTTCTATGTGCCAGAAACTGTCCTCACTGCTGGGCATACACAGTGTTAAACAATTTTGGAGCCCACTAGGGGAGGCAATGAGTAAGTTAAAAATACATTTCCACAGGAAAACATTCTATCTAGGAAAGGCTCTAGGAAAAGCTCTAACAGGCAAAAAAGTTCAATATAGACTCGATATATTTTTATCTATGACATGTTCAAAATGACATAAGATCTCTACCCCACCTGTCCCACTCCTTGTTAATGGAAATAATTAATCTCTTAAATTCTGTGTTTTAATTTGGTTTTCTATTTTTAAGTGTTGCAGAGCTTAATGAATAATCTGCAAATAACTTTAAGAGAAAGCTTGTGGGCATGTGATGTTAGCTAAACTTGAATCAATTATGCTTATATACTGTTATTCTTGAGTTTAATGAAAACATAATAATTAAACAAAAATGATTTAACTAATGTTTTCATTAGGCTCTCAAAGAAAATGCATTACTAAGCACCTAACTTTGTTTACAAAGCCACAAATATTAAATATGTCATGTTCTATGAGAAAGATGAATTGCAGTATTAAACTATTCTGCTGCTCTATAGAACACACTTTTGAAGATTTTATGTACGAGAGAAAAGAAATAAGTATAAATAGTGCAAAGGTCAAAAAAGGGGGAGTGCGATGAGCTCTAATTTCCAAAACAAAATAATATGCAGTGTGCTTAGTCATATATATACTCCCAAACACTCCCACAAAAAAAGCTATGAGAAATATAATCCTGTACCTGTAAATGCCAAGATGGACTGTGCCATCCATAATATATAGTCTTCAAAAATAGGCAGTGAGACAGGACACAGCTTGTGGTCAAAGAAAAGAAGCTGGAGAATTTCCAAGGTGAATACAGACCTGTCAACATGCTGGCTTCAAGTATGCAAAAAATAAGCTTTCCTAAAGCTAACAAACAAGGATGAACTCTGTAATGATTTAGCCAAAGAACCCATTTTTGAACTTCATAATTAATTACAGTGGAATGAGAAGAGTGAAATGAAAAAGGCAGTAAGGGTCTTCCAGTTACACATGGGGGATTGAACCTTTCTCTTCTTGAAACCTCTCTGAAATGACAGTGAAAAAGA